GGGAGAGAAATGATAGGAGGCTCGCGTAAGTGTACCACCCTTAGTGGATGCTTGAGCAAGAAATTGATGATGAGCACAATTCTGGATAGAACTAAAACGGAACACACGTGTCGCACCCTGAGTAATCAATTAATGCCCACTTTTCCTGTCTTAACCATCCTTGCTGTGGCAGTCCTGTGAAGTAAGAAATTGATAGCAAAAGAACTCGAAAAATAGGATAAGTAAGTGCACTTAAATTAAAAAGGATTACTTATGCATGCGGAAAAGTGGACAAAAGAACATCGAAGTATGAAGATGCGCGTGACGCTGGAAGAGAGAAAAATTTTCACTTTGCCACTCAAGGGTGTCAAGTTGCCGCTTAAACCCCTTAACTGTGGATTCCCGGATAACACTTTCCGGATGGATATTACAGCACTCGATGACTCGGCCTGGCATCTGGATTTCCGCTCTAATCTAAATGGACCGCGGTTTGTCCAGCTCCAAGGAATGACCGCGTGGAACAGACAGTCTAGCGTGACTGATTAGCCGTTAAATCTGGAGCAACCAACTGAGTTAAGATACGGTAGGTTAGGATTAGGTCACCTCTAAGCCTTCGGTAGTGCATAGAACGCGTTCTCAAACTAAGTAGACGATCGCAGTACGTCCTTCGCTGTACTCCATTGATACCCGTAGTACCCGCACGTAAAACCTTCTCTAGCTCCATTTATCCCGGATAAGACAAGCGGACAAGCCTGGAAACACTGTTCCAGATGAGGCCCAACGCAATCGGGGCACAATCTAGTTAAAATGCTGTCCGTCCAAACGCAGAAGCAAGGTCCTAATAACCCAAAGTGCGAAACCTCTATTTGGACCTTCTTCCAGTTGTCGCCGGAGTGTAAAGCCGAAGGTTGTACGACGCCAAGTCAACCTGGCCAGGTACACAGGAAACTTCGACAATACCAACCAAGTACTGCGCAGGATCACCTCCGCCAAGATGAAAAACGGAGCATGCTTCTTGGGTTATGCCCAGTACCCATAAAGTAGACCAGTCCCAAAGCTTATCCAAGTAGCACTGAATAGCTTCGAAACTCCCAGGAAAGTCGGCAATGTTCCACATCTTCAGGTTCTCAACAAATAGCAGCGATGGCACCTCAAGCTCCGCGGGTAGGTCATTCACATAGATAGAGAGCAGTGCCGGTTCAAATAGCGAGCCCTGCGACACGCCAATTAGGAGAGACTGCCTACACGATAGGACACGACCTACCAATACAAACTGTTCTCTACCATCCATTAAGGCAGTCACCCAATGGAGGGTGCTACCAGATACCCCGTAGAAGCTCAGCTATTGTGCGAGCCCCAAATGTGGTACCTGGTCATATGCCGTCGAAAAGTTGAAGTAGAGCAGTTCCAGTGCGTAGTCGATGTCCACTGCGTTAGCCCCACTTTTGCGTACTAACAATAGCTTTGTTAGTTAATAATACCTATCCCAGAATCCGCATTGTGCATTGTTAACTAGCATAAGTCTACTCAGCTGACGCCAACGAATCTATCACCAGTTGCTCCTGGAGTTTGACTTCTAAACTCTCCTGACCAACTGGTCTGTAATTATTCGGCTGGCTAGCCGAGCAACCACCTCGTGGTGCCAGCTGGGTGGTTCGGGTTTAACCCCTTCCAGCAAATAGTTCGGCGGCAGTATTCCAAGACGTGGTGGTTTTTCGCCTAGCAAGCGTTCTCCCTATAAAAAGCCACAAATGTCTGCTTAACAACACTGAGACGTGTCGGCTGTGCCTCGCCACAAACTTAAGTCACTGGCCCGTGGATATTCGGAAAATGCTATCCAACCCACGAAACTCAATCGCTTATTCTCACCTTCCTGACGATAACAGTCAAAAATTCTGCAGCTCATTCAAAAACGCATGCTACATTCTTACACAATTTCGCAGCTAACTCATGCAACAGCTTCAGTTGAATTAAATCATGCACGGACATAGTAGGATTACGCCCTTGTACCCGTCTACGAAATTCCATCTCCGCTGTAATAAATTCAGGTAGTGTAGAACACTTTGGTATCCTACAAACCAGCTGAAGGCCAGCCAACGCGGTTATCTTTACACTTGCTGCTGCATATTGGTCAATAAGTACACAGGCCTCGTCATAGTCCGTAGGAACATGAGTACCGTCATCAGGCATAAACCCTGGAATTGACATGTTGACCCGAATGGTCTTTTGACATACGCGAAAAATCTTTTTGGACGCTATGAAGCTTCGTCTGCTAAGGCTTTCTCGGAATGGAGCCGAGCATTCCTTTGATGTTGCTTTCAACGATTACTAGCCCCACGGTACCTGTCATAAGTATCGGTGGATGGAGCTTCACGGTAAGTCCGCCAACATTTATACCACTTTGAGGGCAGTTGCCTGCTAGTGAAATGTATTCAGGTGGCTGTGTTCGCGACTCCTTTCCCCTTATAACTGGGATGAAAGGAGCAGAGACCTCTGTGAGGTATGACTTAGAGTTATCCTTAGCAACCTGGACAGCATAATCGCCTGAGATCTCACAATGGAAACTCAAAGGCCTGGCTTGCATTGATTGCTTAGCTGCGTGCCGTATGTTCGCGCCAGACTCAACAGTACTCTAGTAACGTCTAGACTGGGTGCAACAAAAGAGCAAACAAACAAAATCACTACAACCCCGTGGAGGTCCGCAAGTAACGTCACCAAAAATCTAGTAAATTAGCAAACCCAAGGTCTAAGGTAGACAGTACTAGGGCGTCCATGTACCTAATGGAGAGGGGGACAGACTGCTGCAATGGTACTTGGAGTGTAGGCTCAAGTAGATCAGCGCCAAATGTTCTTTACGCCTAGTTGCAAGAAAGAGCTGGCCAGCAAGCCTCTGGAAGGTTGAAGTCGCCCTTCACGAAACACCTGTTTGCGGACTGGGAGCGAATAAAGTCAACTACCACTTTGGTTACAACTGTAACCTGAGACGAAGATGTGCTAATTACAACCGACAGAGCTGCAACAGTTCTGGCTGAGGACTGAAATAAGCATGTAGTCAAAACGTCAGATGTACAGCTCAAATAAACTGCGATGCCTGCTTCATGTAGACCAGCGGAGTGATAGCAACTAAACAGTGTGTAGCCAGCTAGTTGTATTTCACCACCAGTAATGTTCCGAGACAGCCTCGTTTCATTAAATGCGAGCATGTCGAGATGAGGCCTATCTACACGTAGACCGCACTTACACACAGTATTCCTTAGGCTGCGCGCATTACTTACCACTATCTGAAGGTTGTTGCTAGGTCCAAACCTGGGTCGTGCGCTACCGGCATGGGTAGCGGTAGGGCGGAAAATGATTGCCGGCTGAGCACCCGATAAACCCACTAATGACAGACCACGGTTATCGGGCGCTCAACTACTTTTGATGTGCTTAATCTCCTACCTTAGCTTCAGCCTATCGGTCAGCGGAAGGTCAGGCTGGACGCTAAGAATAATACTTTTTACCTTAAAAGCAAACCGCCTGTGGGTGTTGCGTTCCTGTGGGCTAGAGAGTACCACATGCAGTAGCCGCGGTTATGGGCTTGGTGAATTAACTGGGACGTCCTCCAGGCTATTCAGCTTCCTGACGATAGGGCCTGGAAAACCAGGCCGAAGAAGCTTCAGTACACAAATAGTAAAGCATTGAAGTTCATGCAACATGCGATCAGCAGGAAGCACAGCAGCTGATTCAGTCGCTTTACGGATTATGGCACCACAATATATGAAAATATCACCACAGCGGAGTGTATTAACCCCATGTGTCTTTGCTTTGACAATTAGAGCAGGTGGCTTCACCGATGGTGCTGGGACTGTCCTTGTCCCCTCAGATGAGGTTGCAACGGCAGCGTCTTTTCGCTCTATTGTCAACGTCGTATTTTTCGGGTCATCAAGTCCAACGGAAAGCTTTATGGCAGAGTTGGTCGGCTTTTGTTTCTTGAGAACGGGAGCAGTGTTCCTTGATGCTTTATCGATTTGAGCGGAGTCAAGCGGAGCATCCGAAGGTGCCGTATCGGTGAGCGTTGACATATCCGGCACTGTCGACTGACAAGTATTGCGTATGAAAATCATCGCGTCCGCACAACCGTCAGGCGGCTTGACAAGTAACGCTCAGTGTAGCTTTAGCAAAGACCTCCAAAGCAGCTTCATGTTTGTGTTTGGAAGGCATCTGGATGGGTGGGACAACGATTAGTGCCACAACTCGAGCTCCAGTGTAAGCGATTAAAGCTGCGTTGTTGGAGACCGAAAGAGTAGTCAGGCGTAGATCAACCTTAAAGTGAAGACCTGAGGACATTGAGAACGGACGCTCTACATGTCGCAGCCGGGGACCAAGGGATCCGTCGCTTGTACGAAATACCGCGCGGCCTTGCCGGCAGCTGCAGCCGTTGGCACATCTGCAAAGCAAGTTTTTGCTGGAGATAAGAGCTGCATACTGCTCGGTATTCGAGTCTGTGATGGCTGGTAGTATCAGCGGTTGCAGTCGTCGCAATGCATGCCAACGGAATCAGCAGTTGCTGACATATTGCAGCTTGAACTGCCACAAAGTGCGATGGCATCAGAATCCGAATCACCTGGAAAGACAGCCGCTGAGTGTTACGAGACCGACATGGTGGAAAACAGGGTGGAAGTAGAACACACATACTATAGTAAAACGACCGCAATTAAAGGGCAAAAGCAGTGTGCAAAACGGGAGTAAAACTGGAAACAACCGAAATAGTTACTAGTGGGTGTCAAGACGATTTGACCGGTACCACTCAATCGATCCAAGCTACATTGGATCAGAGGAATTAAGACAATAGTGGAATTCCGATTAAAGCGGTAATTCAGACAATGTTTTCCACCATATTGTATCAAAAAATTCTCGTAGTAGACAACAAGATAGCCCGCTCAAATGTGTAATTTACTGCCAAGGTGGAAACCGACTAGCTGCAATAAAACGAAGAATAAAGTTACTTGAGCATCATGTTTCTTACAGTCTTTTAATCGACCTTGAAGTTGAACTTGAGGAGTATCTACAGTTAGTGTCCTCCTGTCATGAATGAGGCTGCAAATCTGGATTCTGTCCATCATCTCCGTGGGGGTAAGGGCAGTTGTTGCTCTATGAGTGTCTTCATTAGAGACAACTCATTTCAGAGAAAATTCTCTTCACTCTGAGGCAGGCTTTGCTTTTCCAACGGCTTATTTTGTAGATGTTGGCATTTTTTGCACCAGTGTCGTCTAGTAAAAGCTCCCCATATATGTCCACTAGTGCTGCACGGACCAATATCATTGAGAATGCTAAACCGTATACTAAGACAGTCACTCTAGCTTCTGAAACCAATATTAGCCTCGCAGAGAGTAATGCCACGGAACGGATTTGTCACATACAACGTTCGAACAACGATACCGCTACAAGTTTTGCTAGAAAGGCGCAACAGTTCGGTTCATATTCCTCATCCAAGACAGATATGCCCTTGTCTCTTGATGTTAAAGGGAACAATCATAATGGCAACATCAACTACAAGGCTACTGCGTCTAATGGTGTAACTCACGAACCCTCCGTATTTTCGGTCCCTAAACGATCGCTCTTCTCCAGTGTCCTGAAACGATTTTCTATCCAAAGGAGTAAAACGCCGGAATCTGCTAGACGTGTTGAGACCGGCGCTGTAACCATTGACCAAAAAAAGCACATTTTTGACGAACATTCCAAACCTCGCAGGTTTCGTCGGTGGTTGACCCAAAGAATTCGGAAGCGTAAATCTAAAGGTTAGTCACTCCTTCCACTCCACTTTTTCCATACGATTACTTTTGACCAACCCGTTGCGTGATGTGTCGCAATAGTTATCGTGTATAAAAATGACTGCCTCAGTCTTCTCACTGTTACTGTGCTCTCGTGCCCATCATTAATGCTCCGTAGATCATTACATATAGAGTAGTTAAAACACACTCCCTACAAGTTTCTCGGCTTTGAATCGCAATGTGTAGCGCACAAGACGTAATGATACATTTCTTGTTTTTGTATTTGAGGCATCTCAGTGTGTTCCATCGCCACGCTTGTAGTGTGCCTTTAAGGCACCCTTCCTGTACATTTTGGTTATTGTTCGGTTGCTTCACGGTGGGTTTTGTTTACAGTGGTGCACGGTGTATTTCCGCTTCTGCGTTTTATGATTTGCAACATTGTTTATGCTTGTGCATTGACAATTTTTCTTGCTTGCCTTTAGTAATCTGATACCATCATCATCATCAACAGCAGTACATCAGTCATTTGAACTGATGCTTCGCTGCCATACAACCATGACGACCTATGAAACAAAGAATAAGAAGAGGGAGAGAAGGGGGACTTACCTGAAAACCTTAATGCCCTAAGCGAACTGATACGCTACCATCAGAGTCCATTCATCATGACTCGTTATTCGGACGAAAGGAAATAACGTGCCATAAAAGCGCGCCCAGATATACATCTACAAGGTCATCAAGAAAAGTATATTTTTCGGATTGACTAGTTAGTAGACCTAGGTGTTAGTATGAGCTTCATGGCTTCGTGACTGTACCGTATCTTAGATAATGGTCTGTATGACTTATCCCTTTCGCAGGATCCAAAAATCACCCTTCGATATTGCTAGTCGGCAGGCACACGACATAAATGGCCAGCCCAACCTTGGTGATTCCATCGCGAACAAAAATAGCTTACCAAACATCCGCGGGAAAACTATTCTAACGTTGCGCGCTTTGCCTACTTCGATTCATTGAACTCTGCTGGGTGGTGCGCTTAGACCGCTTGAAATCCACTTTCGCCAGATTGGGCTGTGTTTAGAAATCAGAGACTCGGTCTCTTAGCCCTCCGTGTTGGGAATTGGAAATAGAGTCAAACAATCAAATCAGTCAACAGCAGCAGTACATCAGCCACTTGAACCGATGTTTCGCTGCCCTACAACCATGACGACCTATGGAATAAACGTTAATAAGTGGAAGAGGAGGTGGACCTAAGGCAAAACCTTAATGTCCTAAGCAAACATTCAGGGTCAAGGCGCCTACACCTTGTGTAGACAACATACCGTCACAAACAGCTGGCTGATGTACAAGATAAGGCGGCATCGGCGAGACAGCTTCCTTGCGGCTTTCACTGCCACCCGTCATAATTGGCCATTACCCCGCAGATAACTCAGCACCAAACACACTTTAAACAGGTAGTCCGACTAGGAGATGGCAACAGACCCACCAGTGGTGTCGGTTGTGAGCCATGTCCTGTAAAGTCTCGAGCCAAGCACAAGGCGAGTCACGTGGACTCCAGCCCGGAAGGCGAGGCGGACCAACGGCATTCATTTTGGTCATCGGTGACTTCATTTCCCGCTGCCAAGTCAAGTTCTGTCCACCACGAACGTTGCGCCACCGTACACCTGGTAGACTAAACAAGGCCCTCCTAGGTAAGCGGTTACCAAGCATATGTAGCACGTGCCCAAGCCAACACAACTTATGCAGTGCTATCTGTTGCTCTAAGGAGCCAGCATGATTATCACTATCTAGTTTTCACCCACGCACATCATCGTTGCGAACTAGCTGGTGCCACCCAACACCAGCGATGCTCCGCAGACAACGATACTCAAAGACTTGAAGGCGCCTCAGATGTTAAGGACGAGGGGGACAAGCCTTATTCCCATAGAGCACGACGACTCGCTGTGGCCTTGTAAACAGGGGCTTTCAGACGGAAGCACACTCTCTCCTACCGCCATAGAGGCCGAAAGTTCAAGAAGGTATTTCTGGCTCCTGCAATGCGTGAACTGACTTCGGTTTCTCTGCGTCCATCTTTTCTGATGCAGCTGCCAAGGTAAATGAAGCAATAAGCCACCTCGAATTCCTCTTTATCAACGGTGGTCCTGCAGCAACACTACACTTTGAAGGTACGAAGCGCATACTGAATAGTGGGACAACTCTAGTGAGGATATTTAGGGTTGCTTGTGCCCCCCCAACATCGTCAAAAAGCAAGCCGATATCGTCCGCATAATCAAGCTCACCTAGGTTTTCACCAGGCAGGACTTCGACGCCTACATCGTGAAACTCCGTGAGGGAACATTCCATAATGGAGTCCACGACGAAATTGAACAGAAACGGGGAAATCGGACAACTCTGACTGGAAATCGGAATGGTGTCCGTTTATGAAATACCTTATCGATGTCTCTTTGCCTCCTAGTAGTCAAGCTTTTAAACCAATGGCTTTGGTTGAGCACCCCCATCGTTCCTCCGTCTAGTTTTAAGCGCTCTAGAAGTATCCCAGCCTACGTACAATCATGAATAAGCGAAACCATGCTGCTGCTGATACCTTTCTTCACCTATTTCTCCTACTCCTTTCCCTACCTAACTGCTGACGTCACTTGACAATTTCTAGCTTAATTGCCAACAGTTGCTGTGCTGTTGAAGTTCTGCCATCTGCAACTAAATCCCAAAGGAGCTTTTGGATTCATGTCATATTACCTCTTTATAATGCTTCACTGTCCTATTTCTCTGGCGGCTTTCAGAGTTCCTAACATGAACTTTCACGCACATTAGACACACTCAGCATCGACATGTGCCGCGTTTGTCAAACGAGTTGCGTCCAATCTGTCATGTCGTCTTTCATTGCATGCATCTGACCGATGAAGAAAACACTGGTGACGCTGGGATGGCTATCACTGTCAGTCCTAAAACGGAATTATCGTTGGTCAATTAGTTTTCTTGGAGCACTAATTTGTATCCAGACTTTCTGAAGACACCAACGAAGGATAACTTACAGGGTAACACTAAACACTGGTCTTTGTTGTTTTTGCGTATGCCCCAACTGACTGCAGTTTTGATGCTGCTGATGATACCTCCCACACTGCTTCCCAGTGTTACCATTTAAGGTATCGTTCTACTTGCATGGGATATGCATACGCAACTAAGTCATCTAAGCTCCCCAGCTAGCGTATCTTGAAGTGGTGCGCCGAGCAGCACATGTTGTTTTTACCAACGCCCTTCAACTGCATTGAGCGCCAATTTGCAACGGCGTCCTGTGATGACTAGTCAGTGATGGTCCCAAGTAGATCACATTGCTGTGTTCGATGGTGCGGTTCCATCCTTGACTGTCGCTCTTTCTGAACCACATTTGTCGAATCTGGTCAGGTCTTGGTTCGTTGCCGACTTTCCATGAGCTCCGCAGGCAAGCATATACAATTCTTCTTTCGATTGGCAACTGAGGAGTTATCTCAATCTCAGTAAGGCAGATCACCAGAATTCCTTACTTACCAGTATTTCACCTAATTGCTGTATAGATATCGAACTTTATTTGGGTAGTATCTCGGCCGCTTTGCACGTGGCTAAAGTCGAGGTTTACAGCACTCAGTGGTCATCTATCAGTCGATGAATATCAGAGACATTTATGAACCTTTTGGAATCCAGAAGCAAAATCCCTGCGGGTTCTGAACGCAGTGTAACAAACGCCTGATTAGGCGCTAGTTGAAACTGTGCCTGCGCGTTGACTGGGAAGGCTAGTGGACTGGCAGCGAGTAATCAATGCCCACAGTTCTTGTTGACTCGCACCATTGATCCCAATTAGTTATACGTTAGTGAGACTATTAGAGACAGTGCAGGTGCATTGGTTCACTATTAGGGGAACCGTCTGGATAGTTGAGTGGAACACTTTCGATAGTCACTTTCTACTGAGGTAGTGCTGGCTGAGTCTTGGCCAGTTAGTTTAAATGCTGTATCGTAGGCTGAGATTCGAAACATGATCACAGTGCTCGATCGCTTTCAAATTACTGCTTCAGCTGAAGGTGAAACCCACTGCAAATCACTGACCCGTCTGTTCGAATTTGTATAGAGAGAAGCCGTACAAGACAACCAGTGAATGCAGGGTAGTGGTGATATATTGAAAGGACAATCCTACTGACTGTGCTAACAATATGGGTATCAGTCTGGTGGTAGTAAGAACGAAACTACTGGCATCAATCCTCCCTCAACACCTTGCTGCAGAAGAATTCCGGATGAGGAAAGATCATGCAGGTTTTGATCCGAGATGGGGTTGTGTAGCCCATACATTCACTTTGCGACAGGCGCTGGAGCAGCGTCAAACGTACCACATATGGACAATGTCCGTGTTTCTCGATTTCGCGCTTGTATTTGATTAAATCGATCGCTCCATCCTCTTTGTCATACTTGTTTGGATGTTCCCACCAAGTGTGTAAATCTTCTCCATTCCCTGTTCTCGAACACCACAGATGGCACCAGACTTTACGGTGCATCCCCAGACGTCTTTCCAACAACAGGGGGTGTTGGTCAGGGTTGTCCAATTTCCCATTTTGTTCAACTTGTCCTTGATTCCGTCATGGAGTGTTCTCTTTTGGAATCTCATGATACGGGCATTAGAACGTTGCTTGCTGAAAAATTGGTAGATTCGAATTATGCGGACGATATTATTTTGCGGCTCAATCAACTCTAGTTATTCTGTTCGGAGTGGTCCATCGTTTGGTATGCGCTTCGTACCTTCAAAGCGCAATGTGTTGTTGCGTGACCACTAGCCAATTGGTAACCCTTTAACTCTCAACACTGGGGCGTTGGAAGTGGTGGACCGATTCACCCGTCTTGGCATTTACCTTAGCGGCGGTGGACTTAGGGCTGCATTACGAAAGGCAAAGGTGCCTTATTTTACCTGCGACATCTGTGCTGTCAGAAGTGGATTACATTCGGTCTGATAGGTTGTATATACAAGCCCACAGTGAGGACCGTTCTACTGTATGATAGTGAAACTTGTCCTCTTCGA